GGAGCTCAACATTGACTAACTGACCAAGTTGTTCAACAAAGCATCGGGAACAAAGAAAATGCCATATAAATGAAGGAAAAATATTGTAGTACATGTTTACAATAACAAATGACACATAAAATTGTGTGAGCTATTGAGGGATCAAATTTATGAGTTACCTATAAAACTATAGAAAATAGTGATTGAGCAATAACTAAGGCACGAAACGAGTGTCTCAAATAACCAATTCAGTTTTATGCCAAGAAGATAAACAATTGAGGCTATTGGCTTTAATAGGTGATAAGATAAAATAAAGTAGACTTAGGTGACTGACCATGTGCAACACAAACCCAATATAGCATCTGTTAGGATGTGCGAGTTAGTTCAAGTAGAAGACTCAAAAAAGGGCAAGTGGTAGGCCCAAAATGACATGGATTTAAAGTAGTGAGAAAAAATATGAAAACTTATAGTATCATTGAGGGTATGACCTTAATGGAGCAGAAATACCCAAAAAACAAATGGAAGTAGCTATAGTGGGTAAAACGTGGCATCATGATAAATAAAAATGAGGAATATCCGAGCCCAATCAAGATAAGAGTCCACGCTTTGAAATGTTTAGAGGGTTTATTTTTTGGGATTGTCTACAAAAATATCATTTATCTTTTGTACACAGAGGTTACAATCTTTCCCACTCATTAGATGTCAAATTGGATGGCTTTGAGTGAGTCACGAAATCTGAGATTTTTTTTTTTTGAACTTTGTGTGTATTCAATTACACCATTGCAACCACTCATTTTGAAAATAAATGGACAAAAACGATTGCGACTTCCATGTACAAAAGATAAATGATCTCTTTATAGACAAATCCATTTATTTTTAATTGCCATAATCATGTATCTTTTAAGTGATTCAAATATATTAAAACAGAAGAAAAATAAAATTAAATAGATATCAAAAGAAGAAAATAGGAATACATTGAAATGATTTATATAAATAAATAATTAAATTTACCCGGGGGGAATTACATTGATACAAATCGACCTGGAAAAACAAACTTTAATAAGTCAAAAAATTGTTTGGCCCTGCCTGATAAGGCCCAGCCTGTTTAGAAAGACCTTAGAAATAAATAAATAAATAAATAAAAATCACTCTTTAAACTTTTCTTGTTTGGAGTAAGTCAAATAAAATTAAAATACATATATGCTAAAATATTTTTTTAAGGAAATTAAAACCTGTTAAAAAGTAATGGGTCTCTCCCCACTAGAAACCCGATCTCTCTCTTTCACCCATATACAAACTTATTATCTCTCGCTTTAGAAACCCAATATATCTTTATCACTCTAAAAACTCATTATCTCTCTAAAAACCCAACATACATTTCTCTCTCTAAAAACCTAATCTCTCTTTATCTCTTTAAAATCCATTTTTTCCTTCGGAATACAAACTCTCTCTTTAAAATCTATTATCTCTCTAGAAAGCCAATCTCTTTTTTTCTCTCTAAAAATCTATTCTCTCTATAAACCCAATACCTCTTTTTATCTCTAAAAACCCAATATCTTTCTATCTCTAAAAATCTATTCTCTCTAAAAATCCATCTCTCTTTCTCGCACTAAAAACCCATTATCTAACTAGCGCTTTCTCTCTTTAAAAACTCATTATCTCAAACCTATTATCTCTTTAGAAACCTAATCTCTCTTTTTATCTCTAAAAACTCACCATCTCTCTCTCTAGAAACCCAATCTCTTTTTCTCTCTTTAAAAACTCATTTTTTTTCTTTTGAAATCCAATATCTCTCTTTAAAAACCTACATTCTCTATCTAAAAACCCAATATCTCTTGCTCTCTCTAAAGACTCAATCTCTCTTTCTCTCGTAGAAATCCATTCTCTCTTTTCTCTCTAAACTTTATTATCTCTCTCTAGAAGCCCAATATCTCTTTCTCTCTAAAAATTCATTCTTTATCTAAAAATCTCATCTATCTCTTTCTCTCTAGAAATCTAATCTTTCTATCTCTCTCTAAAAACTAAGTCTCTCTAAACGTCGAATCTCTCTCTAAAAATCTAACCACTCTCTCTAAAAGCCTATTCTTTTTCTAGAAACCCAATCTCTCTCTTAAAACTCATTTATCTCTCTAGAAATCAGCTCCAAAATAAAAAGAGATGGTGGATGGAAGAGAGAGAAGGAGAGAGATGGCATAAGGTAAAGGGGGAGAGAGAGATGGCGGATGGAAGAGAGATGGCATATGAAATAGAGAGAGTGTCTCGGGGGAGAGAGGGGGCAAGTAGGGTTGCTAAGTGTTTGGGCCGAGCCGAGAATACCACATTTTTTTCATTTAGATACCACACATATATTGAATTTTTTAGAAAATATTTTAGCATATATTTTTTGTTTTATAGGCTTACTGCAAGTAATAAAAAGTTTGAAGAGTGACATTAAAAAAAAAAAAAGACAAAAAAAAAGGCTTCCTAATGTGCCTGGCCCATTCCAATAGCTTCTTTTAGGCAGGCCTAGGCTTTAATACTATATATATTCGGGCAGGGACCCAACGTTTTATCAGGAATTTTGGGCCAGGCCAAGGTAATTTATAGATTTTATTGGCCCGGTGGTAGCCCTAAGTGTAATAGGGAGATGCAAGGGGTTTAGGGTCTGAAAGCTTTCCATCGCTCAATGTTTTGACAAATTCGGGATCGAGAAATTTCATTCCTATGAATATGAGGTCGTTATTTTTTTTTGGTAAATTTAGCAATACATACTTTACTTTTCAATTATTTATCATTTTACCCTTCTCCTACTGATCTTCCAAGTCAAAATCATATGTAGGCATTTTAAAATTAAATTAAAATATATGGATAAAATGTAAATCGTTGATATGTTATGTATATTTTGACAAATTTCCCTTTTTTATTCATCCAATTAGTATTTAAAACTCGGCACCAGTCAATAACCGCCCTGAGCCAAAATGGCCAAATTGCTGGGTAAGTTTGGCTCACAAGGCCAATTTTAAAAAAGGAAAAAAGATAAAACAGAGAAAAAATGTCAAAAGAAGAAGAAAAAAACATATAAAAATAAAATATTCAAATTCAAATATTTGAGTTAATATAGTAGGGTATAATCACAATAAAAAAAAATACTTGAAGAAGAAATGGCAGAAAATATAAGAATTCGATTTTAGACATTTTTAATTTTGATGCCAAAAAAGTTTGTTAGGACTTTTGTGGATCAATGCGGTAGGAACATTTTGCGGCGAATTTGAAAGAGTTCAAGAAAAACGAGAGAGAAAAATCGAAGACTTATAATTTCGGGTTAAAAAACTTTTCGAAATTTAAACTCTCACTTTCTTCTATTTTACTTTCCAGTCCAGCAAATTGTTGTAGGGGTCTAATAGAGGGCTCCAATACCAACAAATTGAAACAAATCCAACTTATTTTATTAGTAATTGAAAGATAAATTCAAACTATGGAAGATTTGGTTTTTAGGATTGAAAAAGTCATGAGATTTTGACGGAAAGACCTTGCCGAAACTAAAAAACTTATCCAAATAAACTTATTTTGGATGGAAATAAGGCTAACATAAATTAGTTGGTATTAAAATTGATTAATTGAGGGTTAAAATAGATGAAAATTAACTATTGATCCAAAAAATTGTTAAATAAAAAGGTTGTCAGGAGGCAACTCGACCAAGTCCATATTAGAACCAAACCATACAATTTTAGTTTTGAGTTTTGATGATTACAAGTTCGTTTGGGAATTCTTTCAACTTTGTGACAAAACAATCGATCAGATTTTAGGTCGACTATTTTTTGTTGAGATGAAAGAGAGAACACTTGACAAGCTGAATCACACTTCGACCCTTGAATCTCCTCTATATTTTGCTTTATTTTAAAGAGAAAAAAAAAAAAAGAAGAAGAAGAAGAGAGAAAAATGTTAATATCAAGCCAAGGGAAAAAAAAAGAAGTAAAGCCTCACTTTAAAACTCTGAAAAGCTTAAAATCAATCATCTAGAAAATGATCATTACGATTGTGGAGAAAAAATTAGGATTCCAAGCCCCAAAAATAATTGTATAAGGAACATATTATTTAGGCTCTCCATTTTCAAGTATTAATGGATTCGCATTAAATGCTATCATTGCCAATGTTTTTGTGAGGGTGGTCTTGTCGTCGGTCTCTTGCTCGAATCACAATTTGACGAGACCCATTCTCTACCGTATTTCTTTCGACATGTTTAGGCTAAAAAATGAGGCGAAGGCCGTAGTTTTGGCAGAAATTTTCGAGTATAAACAAGATGACATTTTAGGAAAAAGGTGAAGTTGAAAGGAAATAGGAGGACATCACAAACATGGGTACAATTGTGTAAAACCGAAACAAGGAGAGCAATTTTGAAATGAAAAATGTTTTGGTAGGGTTGTAGGGCTCTCATAATAAGTAAACCCATTTCAAAACTCGCATAAAATTATAGTTATGGTATAGAAAAACTTACAAAATGATCATTTCGGCCTTGACTATTATAGTTGTAAAAAACATTTAAGATTTTAAATTCGAAAATAATATATATTATAATCTATTACATAGACCATATATATTTCATCCCAAAAATAAGTATTTACATGTCTACAATATCTGCACTATTTTTTGAGCTTCAAGTTTCATATTACGTGTTTGAAATCGATTTTAGAACCATCATGAAGATTTCCCGTGCACAAAGTGCTTTAGGAGTCGAGGTGGGGCTTTAATTTGTTTTCATGAAACCTAGGCGTTTTTTTGAAAGTAAATCCTTTTGAGATTCATGGCAGTAAAAGTCAAATATGGGCCTGAAACGTAAGGCTAAAAGTCAAGTGCCTGGCACTACTCATTGGATGGGGCCTAAGCTTGGATTGGCCTACGCAACCCATGATCCCAAAGATTCCAAATAAGAGAAAACGACTTGGATTGTGAAGAAAATGAGAAGAGGCAACTTTGGAAGTTTGTGGAGACTGGAGACATGGTCCCTGACCCACATATCTTACTTCCCCTGTCATTTGGTTGGGTACCATTTTTTTTTTATCTGCAGATATCCAAGGGAGAGTAAAAAACTAAAAATCTTTCCAGTTGAGAGAGAGAGAGAGAAAGAGAGAGAGAGATGGCGGCCCCAATGCTTGGCCTCTTGAAAGCAGAGCTTCCATTGCAGGAAGAGTCTCTGTTGATCTCTGCGAGTAAGAAGACTGGTCTTGTCCTCGTGGACATTGTCAATGGATTCTGCACCCCAGGTGCCGGTAATCTGGTAAGTCATAAACATTCAATTTATCTACTGGTTTTCTTTTTCGTTTCCTATGGGGAAGGCTTTGATCTTTGATGGGTAAGGTTTTTGGTCTAATAATTATCTGGGTTTTGGTGTGGGGTCTTCTATCTTTTGAATACTTCTGATTAATTTTTGTTGGTAGTTTGATGTTCTTCTCCCTTTGTTCCTTTTTGAATTTGCAGGCTCCAACACAGCCAGATAAACAGATTTCTGATATGGTAGATGAGAGTGTAGGGCTAGCAAGGATTTTCAGTGAGAAGAAATGGCCAATACTGGCTTTTCTAGATACCCATCAACCCAACAAGCCCGAGCCTCCATATCCCCCTCACTGTATTGTTGGATCAGGAGAAGAAAATCTGGTACCAGGTAATATATATTGTCTATAATTCATAATTCACAATTCCAGTGGTTTTTTCTGTATAAAATGGCACGATGTAGTATTGGCAAATACCCAGTTGATCAATCAAATGAATTAACCAACTTATTTTGCATGAATGCTTGAACCGATATGAAAATAATGCCTGGTACTGTAATTTCATTTTTTGAGAGATAACCAGTGATGATACTAGAGAAACAATTGATGAAATCATGACCAGTATTTGTATCTGAAGATAAATGAAGGCAAAAAAGAATTCAACTGCATAGTTTTAAGTATTCTTTAATGTTATTTTGTTATTTGGCAGCCTTGGAATGGTTGCAGAAGGACCCAAATGTAACAATCAAACGCAAGGATTGCATTAATGCGTTTGTCGGTTGCATTGAAAAGGATGGGTCGAATAGCTTTGTCGATTGGGTTAAGAATAACGGGATCCAAGTTGTGAGTTTCTCTCTGTCTATTATATCAGTTATTATTTACGTGCACCTTTTGTGGTTTGTCCCAACTCTATATGCATTCTAAAATCTCTTCTAATTTCTTTCATCCCATGCCTCTTGTCCTCCTATATGCATGATCAGATATCGATAAGTTCCATGTAAGCTTGTTCTTATTTAAGCAAAGTTCTTTAATTCTTTTCTGGAATGTAAAATTTGTCAATTTTATGTTCCACAAGTTGCAAAGGAAAAGATACCCCCCTACAGGCCTACACATTAAGGTTTGTCACATAATTCAATTATTAATGGAAATCAGCTGTCTAATCTCTTTCTTTTCTAGAAATTTTGAGTGAATGTAATCATTCACTATTTCTTATCAGTTATGTTAGACAGAATGACCCTGAACTCACCTAAGATTTATCCCATTTTTTATGGTAGTTCTAGTATTTGACCCGTTATCTTTGTCATGTTATTGTTTCTATCACTATTAATAGTGTCTTCAGCTTACACATTGCTTTTTTATGATCAATATTTGTTTCTAGTTTTCAGCGCAATCAACTGGTTGAATAAGTATGAGTTATTGTGTGCATTGAGCTGTTTTCTTATTCCACTCTTAATTAGCTAATTGTATGACCAGCAGATTAATCATAGGAGATGATTATTTTGGTCTTTTTAACTGAATTGTTCCAGCTCGTTTTTCTTTTGTAGATTTTGGTGTTGGGGATTTGTACAGACATATGTGTCTTCGACTTTGTGGCAACTGCCCTATCTGCTAGGAATTGTGGTTTGCTGCCACCTCTGGAAGATGTTCTGGTGTATTCTCAAGGAAGTGCTACTTTTGATTTACCATTACATGTAGCTCAAAGTATTGAAGGGGCTAATCCCCATCCCCAGGTAGCTTTCTTAGTTTCTTGCATTCCCTTTAGGGGCACAATAGGAGATATCTTGAAAACATCAAGTTTGTTTCTCTAGTTTTGGTGATTGTTAGTAGAAAACTGTAAATGGCTAAACTCCATGGAGTTTCCTTGCCTAGAGTGGGCTTCACCAGACTTAAAGTTTGGCTTATAATATGAAGTTCTAGATTAGTATATTGTTTTCTTTAAAAGAAAATGACTTCCGTGTGTTTCATTTGTGCTATCAAAAGAAGAAGAGGAGGAAATCTCTATATTGATTTTATTTGGTGATTGTCCTGATTGATTTGCATTTCAACATATCAAAATTGATCATGATATCGTAAATATACATCTTCAAAATTTAGTCTCACAGCTTAACCAAAACAAACGAAAACAAATAGTTCTACTATGCAGGAATTCAACGCTTTTTTGGGGTTTATTCCTACTGTGAATTGCACGGTGTATGTGATTGGATTGGTGGTTTTGTTGCTGCTTACCTTGAAGATCAAAGACACCTCGATTACTCAATACAAGCTCTCAAAATTATAACTGATGGGGTTTGATATGGCCCGGGCCAAATCAACTAGTGGTTTCCTATATTCTACCTCAATGCTCTAAACTAGAGAAGAAGCAGCCTATATATGCAGAAGGTGAACATCCAAGAATAATACTATATCTTCTTCTATCCACCAAAACATAGACATTTGAGCTGGTTTAGTTGTCATATGGTTGGGCAGACATTAGGGGAATGACCCATAAGGAATTTAGATTATTTGGGTGTTATAGTAGTTGGAGTATGACCCTTGATATTTCTTTCTAAAGATATTATAAAAAGGATTTTGTGTTTTCTAAAAGTTTACTTTTCACCAGAATGCAATCTAAGTATTTTACATTGTTGTTTGCCTTAGTTTTCTCCTTTTTGAAGAGGTTGCTGCCTTTATTGAGAATATTTGAACCTAACATTAGAATATCTAGCATGCTTGTCTTGCCTTATGTCTTGTTTTTTTTCTTGCCCCCTAAATATTTAGGGTATGCTTGTGTTTGTGCTAAGTTTCAGCCCTATATCAGTGTTAACCTCCTCCATTTATAATGGTTGAACTACTTTGTTAGTTATCCAATTTTTAAAGTTTACCTTCTGCTCTCAGCTTAAGTTATCTCCTGAAACTAGTGGTTGATTCTTTGCATTTTTTCCACCCAAAGCTTCTATTATAATCCTCCTAAGTATGTTTTTGTCTCAATTCCTCTGTTCTTTTTATTGATCATATATTCACGCCTTTCGCTTGTGTTATTGTAATTCATAACCTCGTATCAGTAATCATCTCATTTCTTGTTCGATGCTACTCATGTAGCAACTTTTATTTTTCTTTTGTTTGAGATACTCATACTGATATATCATGCTATCATTATGAGCAAATCCTTTAGATGGTTGATAGGTACTCCTCAGGGACAATGTTATCTCAGGGAAACACAATAAATATGCTTCAGCTTGAAGTGCGCTAGCACTTCAGCATCCCCGGCTTGTGAGCTATTCTGGATTTTAGATCTTTTATATACTGGGGTAGACAAGTGACCTCTAATTGGATTTCTTTTCATTGGCATAAATTTGTGTATGATTTTGTCTTGGTGCACAATCTCATGTAGAACATTGCCCAAACACTCGTCATGGTTCTTCAGTATACAGGGGTAGAGGGTATGCTAAAACATCATAGTATATGTGGATGAACAGGCTTTACAAAGTTTTGTATATACTAAGTTTATTTATGTGTACGTTGCTACTATGGGGAACCTGAATATTAAAAAAGACGAATTCACCTGACTTAATGCTTCTTTGTCAGATCTATTTATCAGTTATTTAAATACTCAGAAAATCGGTTAGCTTCAATTGGTCTTAAAAGGATACATAAACTGAGGAGACTTGCCCACGAATATATTATTATTTTGCAGGAGATGATGCATCATATGGGTCTCTATTTCGCCAAGTTGAGGGGAGCCAAGATTGTGAAGGAAGTGTCAGTTTTTCCTTTGAGTTGATTTACATACTAATAGTTTTGTCTACATATATTACGATGTGTTTAGTAAAAGCGTTGTTTCATGAGGCACACTTGTGTATTATTTTATATGTACAGAGACAGTTGGATCAATAGAGATAAATATGGATACCTTTCATGTAAAGAGAAAATACAATTCGTGATTGTGTGGAGGGAAACTGAATGGTATGTTTTCAGTGTCATTGTGCACTTGAAGTAACAGATATGCAATAGGTGTAATGGCAATATAATATCTGGATTGCTGATACTGTAAACAAATAATTTACCCAACTCATCATCATCATCCAAGCCTTAACCCAACGATTTGGGGTCGGCTATATAAATTTACCCAACTGAATGGTTTTTTTGCTACCATGACGTGTGAACTAAATTACTTGGTTTTTCATCATTTTTAGAATTGTCATTTCTTGCATTTCTAATGTAAATTTATGGTGATCTAATTTGCAGTGTAGATCAACTAGAATTACATTAAGTAATTGATCATGGTATCCTTATTAGATTTTTGTGTTCTGAAAAGGAAGCGGAAAGATCGGATGTTACAGGGTCAATGTAAACTAGAAAAGTTTCTAACTTGCTCATGAGAAAATGGTACATGTTTCATATTAGTCTTCTTCTAGCTTACAATTGTATATAAAGTTCTTTGAAAATGGACCATCCAAATATTTTCCATTGATTAATGTACCTTTCTGATTAAAGCTTGCTCCAATGTTCGTTGGGTGAATGGAGCTGTATTTTCAAGCAATGGAAGATGCAGTTTTGGGTATGATTAACTTTTTTTATAGAAATGTGAAGTTCTATTAGGGCCTGTTTGGATTCCTGGTTGAATCCTGGATTTGAGATTCCCTGGAAATATCAATTCCCTGTTTGGTAGAAATCAACAAAATGCAAATTCCCTGTTTGGATTATCTGGAATATCTTTTTTTTGAAAATGCAAATTCTCTCTCTCTCTCTCTCTCAAAATTTTGAGATAGTTTCTCTCTCCAAAATTTTATTACACTCTCTTTCAAAAATTTAAAATTTGAAATAGTTTCTCGCTAAAATTTTTGAGATAGTTTCTCTCTCTAAAATTTTTATATATTTTCTCTCTAAAATTTGATTTACTTTCTCTCTCTAAAATTTGAGATACTTTCTATCTCTAAAACTTAAAATTTGAGATGGTTTCTCTCTATGAAAATTTTGAAATAGTTTCTCTCTTTAAATAATTTAAGATAGGTACTCTTTCTAAACAATTTTAGGTAGTTTCTCTCTCTAAAATATGATATAATTTTTCTCTCTAAAATTTTAAAGTACTTTCTCTCTCTAAAACTTAAAATTTGAGATAGTTTTTTTCTAAAATTTTTAAGATAGTTTCTCCTTCTAAAAAATTTTAATTACTTTTTCACTCTAAAATTTGATATAGTTACTCTAAAACTTTAAGATGCATTCTCTCTCTAAAACCTAAGTTTTGAGATAGTTTTTCTCTCTAAAATTTTAATATACTTCCTCGCACTAAAACTTAAAATTTGAGATAGTTTTTCTATCTAAAAATTTTCAAATAGTTTCTCTCTAAAAAATTTAGGTACTTTCTCTATCTAGAATTTGACATAGTTTCTCTCTCTAAAGTTTTAATATATTTTCTCTATCTAAAACTTAAAATTTGAGATAATTTCTCTCTCTCTCTCTCTATCTAATTTTGTTAAATAGTTTCTCTCTCTAAATATTTCAAATACTTTCTCTATCTAAAATTTGATACAGTTTCTGTCTCTAAAAATTTTATTGTAGTTTCTCTATTTAAAATTTGATATAGTTTCTAATCTTTGAAAATTTAATATGCTCTCTCTCTCTCTTTCTCTCTCTAAAACTTAAAAAATTTGAGATAATTTATCTCTTTAAATATTTTGAGATATTTCTTTCTAAAAAAATTTAAGTAGTTCCTCTAGCTAAAATTTAATGTAGTTTCTCTTTCTAATATTTTAAAATACTCTCTATAAAATTTAAGATTTGAGATGAGTTTTTCTCTCTAAAATTTTAATATGGTCTCTCTAAAACTTTAAATTCGAGATAGCTCTCACTAAAAAAATTTGTTTATTTTATTTCTCTAAAAAAATTCATATACTTTTTCTCTCTAAAATTTGATATAGTTTCATTTTCTAAAATTTTAATATGTTTTTTCTCTTTAAAATTTAATATAGTTTCTTGCTCTAAAATTTTAATTTTTTTTTTTCTTAAGCAGTAAAGTGGACAATTCCCATGAAATGTCAATTCCACCTATTTTGGTAGAATTGAGATTTTTAAAATTTAGGTTTAAAATGAGCATTGAGGGATCCCACGGAAATCTCAATTCCAATGGAAATCTCACTTCTAAGCGTACCAAACACGATTGGCCCAGTTTTTCCAGAAAAGTGATTCTTGAAAATCTGAATCCAATGAGCCAAATGGCTGATAGGATTATTTTTTTAAGATTCTACAAAATAATTCAAGCCAAAATCCAGTTAACTTCTAACAGGTTCTGTGTTAGTTTACTGGATTTTAACAGGCACAATCTTAATTAGAGGCAACTGTGCCATGATCCTATGATCATTAACCTTGTCATCTTCCCTTCAATTGCTGGCCGATAATAGGGAGGGAGTGGGACCTATTAATCGAGCATGTCATGTTGTCCTCATTGCCACCATCTTCTAATCACCATCCATCAATAGATTGGATAATGATAACACTTTACCATATCTTGTCTATTATCTGTAATATATTTTCCCTTCATTGGAAAATTATTTGTCAATTTAAGTTTATTGCACAATAGGCAATTCGATATTTATGTGTATCACCATGCTATTTTCAATAAGTAATAAATATTATTACATATATTTTAGGAAAAATTACATACATATTTATTATATTTTTCGTTATTACGGCTCTACCGAATAGTTTTTGTTATTACCAATGTGTCCCTTGTTTTTATGTGAAAACAGAAATTTTAAAAAAAGAAAGACAACTTTACCTTTTTTTTATTGTTGAATAACCGAATTCAAAGTATTTTGAGTTATTCAACAATTGAAAATGGGTCAATTTCAATTTTTGAATAGACAAAAATTTAAAATTTTTGGTTATTCAATAATCGAATTTTTTTTTCTCTCTTGTGGGTCTACGTCTACGTATCCTCTCTCTACCTCACTCTCTACATTACATGGGTAAAAATAGTCTTTTTTTTAAACTCTCTTTCTTCCCTTCACTCAGCTTCTTTTTTTGGTAAGTTCATAATCCCTTAGATTTCTCCTAAATTCCTAGGTATGCGTCTTCTTTGGTAAGTTCATAATCCCTTAGATTTTTCCTAAATTCCTGCGTATGCCTCTTTTTCTAGTAAGTTTATAATCCCTTAGAATTCTCCTAAATTTAGGGGCTTAAATTACCTGTTCCCCTTTATTTTATTGGATAAGGGTGACTTTATAGAGGTAGATAGAGAATATGCCACAAAATTTCCTATTCTTCTAATCTCATAATCCCTAGGCTCAAACTATTTGTTCCCTTTTGATTTTATAAGATAACTATGACTTCAGAGAGGTAGAGAAAATGCGTCACAAGAGAGAAAACATTTTTGGGTTCGTGACGAATTAAATTTTATGTTCTCCAAGAACATAAATTCGTGTATTTTTAGTTGTTGAATAACTGAAAACACTTTGAATTCGATTGTTCAACTGCCGAAAACAGGATAAAGTCGTCTTTTTTTTTTTTTCTGTTTTGACATGAAAAAAAACAGACATGGAGGTACCAACCGAAACTATTCGATAGTGTTGTAATAACGGAAACTATAACGGATATGTATGTAATTTTTCCTATTTTTTATATACTACTGGCCCCTTTACATATTTTTCGTTACATATTTCTGTTGGCAATGAATTGGATGGCTCGGCTTGTCCCGGGCTGCCCAGAGCTTAAAAACCACAATGAGGGCCACAAATTTTGGCCCGAAGGCGGGCCGGTGTAGACCACCTTGGCGAGAAGGGAGGGCTAATCTGGGCCAAGCCTAGGCCTTGGCCATGCCTAGCTTGGCATAGCCCTATTTCCTCAAGTTTATGCTTTATTTCTCTTCCTCTTTTTCCTTCTTTTTTTTGTTAATCAATTCCCACTGGGCCCGCCCCACCCCAAATGAAGTCACGGTTTAGCAAGCCACCTAGCTAAGGCCCCTAGCCCAGGCTTGGTCCATACAAGCCTTGCCCTGGTCCAAGGTTGGCCAGGTTGAGCCAAAGCTTGCGTGGAGCTAGCCTTGGGATCATGGCTCAAAATAGTGCAGGGTAGTTTTAGGGTAACGTTCACATACCCATTTTTGGGTGTTGAACATTTGAATTGAAGGGTTTTTCGGATGTTCAACATTCGAAAATAGCTCGAAAATTAAGCGTTCACATTCCCATTATTCACATTTCGCTGATATTTTTGGATGTCTAACATCCAAAAATGTGCAAATTTCATATTTTCGGATGTTAAACATCCAAAAAATGTCATATTTTCAGATGTTCAACACTCGAAAATGGGCATATGAACTTTTGGTATATTTTCGGATGTTCAACATCTGAAAAAGTAAAAAAGGGTATGTATGTAATTTTTAGATGTTCAACATCCAAAAAAAGGTAAAGTTGTCTTTTTTTAAAAAATAGAATATACATATAATAATAAAAATTATTTGCTACATCCGTAATAACACAAAATATAACGGATATGTATATAATTTTCCCTTTGTTTTTTTTATATATTTTTCTTGTGGACTTCTATGAGTATACATACAGCCCCTTCTAAAATCTATTTTAGATATGGATTTTTTATCTAATTTTTTTTATGGATTCATCATCTAGCCAAGGTGATTATGAATGTGAAAAGAAAAATTAAATTTTAAAATTAAAAAATATATTTTTTGGTATTTTTGGCTGCACTGTCTATATGAAATCTTTGGAGGATACACTTTATACAACGTCCATCTTTATGATGGACGTTTGTGAGTTAGCGGGCTCTTCTGGCCACTGACTGACGCAACAATTTTCTTTTTCTTATTCTTATCTTTTTATAAAACTTATACATAAATGAATTTTGGAAAATTTGTACGCCCATTGGGTCCATATTTGAAAAATATTAAATTAAGTACGACCAACCTTCACAGTTTCAAGGGTAGTTTGCTTATTATACCTTTTTGAAATTATTTACTTTATATTCTTTG